CTGCCCCAGCCATCCTGATGTTCTTTCTTGCTGCTACTGCCACAGGGCCTTTGCACATGCCATTCTCTACACTGGGGATGCTTTTACTTTCCTTCCTCACCAGGATCTGAGCTCAAACAGACCAGGCTGACTCTAATCAAGGCTCCAGACTGCAGGAACTCCCCCACACCTCAAAAAACAGCAAACTCCACAAAGCTTCTTCTTGAGCTAATTCATATGCCCCCCTGGGAATCCCTGACTCTGTTCACCATCCAGGTAACACCCCTGCCACATGCTCCCCACACTAGCTGAAGGAAGATGCCTGACCTGGGGATTCTATACCTGGGTCTCAAGTGTCTGAAACGGCACTTTGGGCCAAGAATAACATTGGTAACAAGATGCCTCGTGTCAATTTTATGGGCTGCAAATACCTTGCAGTTAGACCCTGAGGTAAGCTACGGGCCTGAGAGGACCCCGAGAAGCTGCCAAAATGTTTCTCAGTCACTCTTCTAAAAATGCCTTTGTCCTTGACCTCGGGGCTGGCCGCCCCCCGCTTGGGGGAGGAGCGACTTGTGGCTCTAGCGAGGACAGGGCCAGGGCTGTAGGGCAGCTCTCAGGGCATGTGGGCTGGCTCTGGGCAGCCCAGTCATCGCCGTTGTCCATGGTCGGGACATCCCAGCCACAGCGGGGGCATGAGCGTCTTTCAGGCCTGCCCGGCTTGGCGCTGGAGCAGAACAGACCTCAGATTTCCCACGGAGACCAAGGCGCCTCCTCCCCCGAGGCCCGAGGAGGTGAGCGGATGAGCTATCATCACCTCTGTAACTGAAAGCAAAAAGGACATCACCCCAAAAAGTCACGGGACCCCGCTGGGCCACCGCGCCGCTCTGCGTCTCCTTTTCTGCTCTCCGATTCCTAGAAACGTCACTGAAGCACCGCACAGACGGAAAAGTGTGGGACTCCGGCCTGTACGGCTCCCTGACTTTTCATGTGGTGAACACACCCGGGTCACCAGCACCTGGAGGAATGACTGGCACCTTCCTGGTTCCCCAGATGCCCTCCGGGGGCCCCCCGCAGTTCCCAGGACACCCCACGTCCCCAGCAGCCCGACTCCTGACTCCGCAGGGACACAGCCGGCGTCTAAACTCTGCGCAAACGGACCCCAGCGGGGATGAGGGGCCTGCTCGTGACGCTCCCACGTTGTGTGCGGCAGATGCTCGTGGAGTCTCATTGCCGCGCACAGAGCACCATTGTCCTGTTCACCTGTTGACGGGTCTTTGGACAATTCCCAAGCTCTGGGCTGTTTCGAAGACTCCTGCTATGAGCGTCCTGGTGTGCGAGTTTTGGTGAACACGTGTGCACGTTTCTAGAATGGCTCAGTTGTAGGTTGAACGTTTTAAGAAACTGCCAAACTCTTTTCCAAAGCAACAGCACCTTTTACATCCCGGCCCGCGCCGGGCGAGGGTCCTGGGTGCTCCATGTCCTGGCCGCCTCTTGGGATGGCTGGTCCTTTTCACTTTGGCCGTTCTCGAGCATGCACACCGCTGGGGATGAAAACGCAATATCCACAGTCAAAACGTCCAGGTCCTCGAGAGTTTGGGGCCGGGCAAGATTACTTCCCTTGTGGTGGGGAGCGGGGGCTGCGGTTAGAAAGATGCTTAGGGAAGGTTTTCTCCTGTGTTTGTTTGTAATTCTTCATTTTTCTCAGTGGCACTATACTCACAAAGCTCAGATCTCAGCAAGCACCACGGGACTGGGGCGGATAAGCTGCGGCTCTGAGGAAAGCAGGCGGAGGCCGGCTCCCCCGCTCGCTGCCTTCCCGGTTCCGGGCCCCCAGCAGCTGCGTCTCCCTGGTGAGGCCACCCTGGCGGCGGGGGCTCCCGGGAGGCACCCGGCTCCATCCCCATCCTGGCGGGTGCATGGGAGCTGTCCCGACCGAGGGGGCGGGCTTGTTCTCAGCTCACAAACTCCCTCCCTGGTGGTTACAGCCGCATGTGACCTCTCAGGGGCATCCTCTCCCCCCGTCACCAAGTTCCCCATTTCGTAGGGTGATTTATGCCCCGTGCCGCTTACCACTACCCCCCCACTTAGTGATTTCTTTATACAGACGTGTATTTTCTACCAGCTTCACTTGGAGCTGACTGATGCAAAGGGCGCGACGTGAGCTCACGGCTGCAGGAGTCTTAGCAGCTGCAGGAGACCTGGGGGCCCTGAGCCCACAGGCGGTCCTCCCTTGGACAGCTCATGTGGGGGTCCCCTCTCGGGCCCGTGGGGGTGCAGGCTGGGCAGGCTCCCCGTGCCCAATCAAGAGGCAGCTGCCCGTGGGGCTGATGGCCCAGACTTGGGAGGCAAAGTGCGTGAACTCAAATCCTCTCCCCACTACCCAAGGCTTGTGCCTCAGTTTCCACATCTGCCAAATGGGACTACCAGGAGGATTAAACAGTGATTTACAGGCGGTGCGCAGAGCGCCGTCTGGGTCAGTAAGGGCTCCACAGGGCTCGTGACCGTTACTAAGTGTGGGTGACAACAAGGCTAACGCGATCGTCGCTCCCTGTTTGCTGGAGACCGAGGACACTGGACCTTCCGTGCGAAGCCTGGGAAAGTCCCAGCAAACTGGGACAAGTTAGTCACCCTATGCGGCCTTATCATTGGGTAAACCAGCAGGGACCCTTCTCTTCACACCAACAGCAACAGAAAGTCCGAACAAGGAAATAAATATTGATTAGGCATCCGTTCATTAGATAGATATTTATTAACTTCTATCTCGTGCCAGGTACTGTTCAAGGTTCTAAGAACACAGGAGAGAATAAAACAATGTCCCTGATGCCCTTGTGGAGCTGACCTTCCAGGGGGCAAGATACGTAATGAACAAAGAAACAGATAAGTGTACGTTACAATGTCGGGTACTGGTGGCTGCTGACAAGCAAAGGTTAACGTGGTAGAGAAGAGAGCATGATGGGTGATACTAAATAAGGAAGTTAAAAAAAGATGACATTGGAGCAGAAAAGTAAAGTCAGAAGGTAAGCCCTGAGACAATCTAGGGGAGGAGGAGTATTCCAGGCAGAAGGCACAGCAAGTGCAAAGGCCCTGAGGTGGGGATGTGCTCTCACTGAAATGCTTTAAGAAGGCACTAAGCCTGATAGAGTTCATTTTAGCCTACCTAGTCATCACCATATAGAAGCCCATGTCAGCCCTGAGGGGACGCAACAACGAGCGAGATCAGTCACACCCCTAGGAAGTTAGAGGTGGGGCTCAGGAAGGCTTGCCTGAGAAGGGTAATATGCCCCAACAGGATGAGCCAGGCCAGGAAGATTTCCGCTCCAGGGAATCTGAATTGGGGATGTGGGGGGACCAGGTGATGGGTGACAGGAACAGAAAGGCACGAGGTTGAGAGGAGACATGAGCAGGAGGGACCCTGGCGAGCCAGGAGCAAGACAAAGCTGTGACCAAGATAGTCTGAATAGAAGTCGAGGACGTCTGAAGGTAGAGAGAAGATCGGCAGGAAGACATAGGGATGACGGAACAGAGAGTGCTGAGTCCTGGCCTCGGGCCCAGCCATGCTCCAGAGGGATGCTCCTTATGTCCCGCAGCTGGGGTCTTTGCACCTTCTTGGGAATTAGGGCTTTTCAGCTCCCATCTCCAAGAGGACCCAGACCCCAGGGTTGCTGCACGGAGTGAGGCACGGTGTGCAGTGTATGTCTTGGGGAGAGGAGTGCTATGTCTAAGTGACAGCACCTCCTGCTGTTGTGCAGTGTACAACGTCCACAACTGTACATGACAGCCCTGACCAGGGTTCATGTTCTTGGCGTTGATGACTGCCAAATGCCCATTACATGTTTGTGTATTCTTTCATTCAATGCAGAATTTTTATGCATGTTCTAACTGCCTGGCACTGTTTAAGACACTGGGAACTCAGGAGTGAGTAAGAGACATGCTCCCTGTCCTCCTGAGGAGAGGGGACAGAAAATTAACAAGTAAATGAGAATTTCAGAGTGACAGCTGCTGTGGAGACAACATGAGACAGAGCAATATGATGGAGAGAGGCTCAAAGGTGAGAAGGGCGGTGTTAATTAGGGGATCAGGGAAGCCGTTCTAAGGAGGGGACGTTTGCACACAGATGGAAAGAATGAGTAGGAACCTAGCATGTGAAGAGCTGAGGGAAGAGCATTGTATGTGGAGGAACAGCAAGTACAAAGGCCCTGAGGAAGGAACTTCCCCAGACAGGGCCCGATCACATAGGGCCGTGTAGGATTATTCTCATTGTGATGAAGAGCATCTGGAGGGCATTGTCATTCCCTGTAGCATGCAACACTCCCGTTACATGTGGGTCTCTTTTCTTCACAACTAAAAGGGTCCATCTCCAGGTCAAATGAGGCCACAAGGAGTCTGCACACAGGAGCCATGTCAGATTAGCCCCTTGAAGAATGACCTTCACTGGATTGGCTTTCATCCAAGATTATTTCAAGAAACCACCATGGGAATTCTACATTTGCATTTGCCCTAAAATGGTTGTCAAGAGCACTGTAACTTGATATGCCTTATATAAAGCCCAACGTAAGAAATTTATTTTAGAACTAAGTATCAGAAACAAATGAAAGAATTGCTGTTTCTTCCTTTCTATAGCGAGAGAGACGTGATTTCCTGTGTTTCCCTTTTTGACCTGGCTACCGGGAAGCTCAGGGCTGAATCATAGGCTTCATTGTGGAAACTGTTAATCCTTGTAGTTGGCAGAGTCACTCTCTCTTTCACTGGACCTAACTTGCTATTTTTGTTATACTAACTTTTGTTTGCTTTATTTTCGTAACGATATTCTTTGTTGTAAGCTGTCTCATTCTTTTTTGGAAAGAAGTCAGGAGGGATGTAAATAAAGGCTCTATTCATCTGAGGTGTAAGTGTATGCAGAGTCTGGTTGACCTAGTTCCCCCAGACTTAAGATTTGTAAATTCAAACACACCTAAAGAAAAACAAACACAACTTTCGTTTCTCACAATTAGCTTTGGGTTAGAAACGAAAACAAACTCATCTCCTGGAACAGCTCGTTCTTCTCCCGTGCCCTACCGTTTGCTGCCATTTGTGGGCTGAGATAGGCCCACTTTATTCCTCAGGCCGCGTCCCTGGGTGGCGTCTGTGACCGAGCAGAGCGACGTGACCCTTCTCAACGAGAACGGCAGACCCAGCAAAGCGGAACAGGAAGCGCTTTCAATTAACAAGTCTCTCGTGCACAGGCGGATGGCTAGCCCGAGCTCCTCTGACAGCCTGGTAACCCGTCATTTTTCCGTTTTGCAAGGACAATTATGTTCCTCAAACGGCAGCATAATTAGCCGGGCCTCTTACAGGCTCCCACGTTTGGGTGGGTTTGCTGGGCTGTTTCCTGGAGCGGGGGCGGGTGGGCGTTGTCGCTGCCCCGCTAATGAGCCCTTGCTGGAAGGGGCCACGTCAGGCTGCCCGTGGGGCACCGCTCACCGAGGAGGCGAGGCTGTGGGTGGCGTTTCCTCCATCTCCCCAGGGACAAGGACCCCGTCAGCCTGCCCCTACCCTGCAGCATCTCAATTGTCACTCCTGGGGAAGGAATTAGCACCAGCAATTCCAGTTATACTCCCGAAGCTGCTGGTCTTTTAGCCTAAAAGTGCAAAAATAAATTAAGCCGCCAGCTCAAGGCACAGTCCGGAATGCACATCACCGGTCTCGCGAGTCGAAACAGACCCGCAGGTCTCGGAGTGCGGTCCCTTCCCAGAAGCATCACCTGGGAACCCGACAGAAATGCGACTTCTGCAGCCTCATGCCAGACCCGCCGAATCAGAAATTCAGGAGTGGGCCCAGGAGTCCATGCTTTCCCAGGCCCTCCAGGGGAACCCTGATCCACGCTCGACTTTGAGAACCACCGGAATGGAGCAAAGCGCGGTTGGTTATTAATTTTGGAATGTTTTAGACCCGTTAACCTAATCCGGGCTCAGAGCCCTAGACGGGGCTGAGAAGGTACAGGAAGATTGAGCCTCAATTCTGATCACTCTGTCCTATCGCATGTCCCCGCGTTCATCAAGAGGAGGGAAAGGCGGGCGAGGACGAGGCTCTGAAGGGGCGGGGACAGGAGAGGAAAAGGGCACGAAGCGTATGCAGCCATGTTTTGAAACCCCGACACGGGACGCACAGAAGGCAAGTCATTAAACAAGAGGATGATCGCAGTCAGTGCTCTGAAGAAGGGAAAAGGGGGGGAAAGACCCCATTTCATTGAGCAGCGGTTCTCATCTGGGCTGGTGTGTCACCCAGGGGACACTTGGCCACTCTGGCCTCCTTCCTCTGATTTGTGTGGTTGGAGGGAGAACGAATGGATTGTGGGAGCGAGAGAGGAAGAGGGGAGACCCACTGAGGGGCTGGTGGCTTCCAGGAGAGGGCGAGGAGCGGACGCTCCTATTTGTTGGGGTCTCCTGGTCAGAGGAGAATAATCTGCAAGTTCACTTCCAAATCCCACGGGTTTAGGCTGAGGGTCCAAATCTAGCACTCGCCAGTTCATCCAAAGCTGCTTTTTTGGTGAGAAATCGTAGCTTTGCCAGTGCGTGATGCAGGTGGGTAAGAAGCCCGATTTCCTTGCTGCATTTCACAGAGAAACAGGAGCCGTGTCCCTCATCCACCTGCTGCTCTGGTGGCAGCAGGAGAGACGGACAGGTGAGCAGACGGCAGAGAGGGGATTTCCCAGGTTTACTGATGCTGGACGTGGGGGCTGAGGGCGAGGGTCCCAGACGACCCCTGAGAGCAGCAGGGGTGGGCACGAACCCACAGGGCAGCCCACGCCCCCGGCACTGATGTCTGGGGCAACACACGAGAGGAACAAGGTGAAGGAAGCTAAACAGTAGACAGCTTGAACAGAAGTCACGAGGGCGCACGCAGCCCCAGCTCCCTGGGGACAAGACACTCAGCCGTCCCAGTGGAGCCCGGCGCTCATTCCCAAGGCTACAGACAGACCCCCAAGGGAGAACCAGGTCCCCTTCACAACCCAGGGAGGACGCCAAGAGCCCCCCCACCCCGAGTGTCACCAGCATCCGACGCCGACTGGAGAGCCAGCATGGCTGTCGGCCCCTGCGGAGACCACGAGGTGGTCCAGCCATCATCCGTCACCGTCTCCTGCGATACCTGGAGCGCAGGCAGCCGGTGGGGGCCGTGCATGAGTTTCACGTTCATTCTGCAGCACGAGGAGGCCTGACAACGGCGCCAGGAGGGCTTTCGAAAAAAGATGTGAGTGAGCGAAATTTTCCATTCCTTTCATTGCCCCCAAACCCTGCAAACAGGCTCTGGCCCACATTTGAACTCTCCAGAATCAGGTGATTATTGTTTTTCTCTTTTGTTTTTCTTGGTTATGTGCTGCTCGGTCTCTGGGCTGGGCTGTTTGGAGTTTTTGTGGAAGGATTGCTAAGCACATTTGTCGAGGCTGGTTTGTGATGATGATGGCTGTGCTTGGGAGAGAAAGTTCCATGCCAGGTGGTCCTCCTTAGCCCAAGCTGGGCGTGTGACTCGACTCCAACCACAGAGCATGTTCAGCTGAGCCTCCGGCGGGCTGCCATTTATCCTCTGGGTCAAGTTGAACCTGCGCAACTTTCACTTTCTCATCATTCTCACGCCTTGAGCCCGGAGAGGGTAAAGGACTCGTCTGAGGTCACACAGCAAAACAATCTACATACCTTCCTTCATTGTAGTCTTCTGTGCTAAGAAGAGAGGAAGCCTTCTGCTCCAAGGAAGACGTCAGTGAGTCAGTTTTGCTATGAGTTTGGTGAGAATGAGAACAGCTCGAAAATGGAAAGAATACCTTTTTGACTAAGTGACCGCTTCCTTGGTAGAGAGCGAGGGTGTCGTGGGGGGAGTCAGCGGGGTGCTAGGCTGGCCCTGCAGCTCGCTGGAGGTGGTCCTGTGCCTCTTTCCACCGCCACATTCAGGGACATCTCGTTGGTAACTTAAGATCGGTCACGGTGAGAGTATTTACACCACAGAAATTGGCGAATGCTACAAACTGAGGCTTTTTTTTTTCAGGAGAGCCGGTTGTTCAACATTTATCAGCATACTCCTAGCAATCATTCATTTGTTCATCCATTCACTTATTCGTTCACCCCGCAAACCCTGATCAAGCATCTTGTGTGCCCGACTCTGTCCCAGATGTTGGGCACCAAGACCTGAGGGAGAGTCTGCTCTTTACAGAAATGCACGACGTGGAAAGGGGGTGAACCCGCACCCCTTGCCTTCAGCCAGGAGGCCCCTCAGTTGTTTAAGCAGCACTGGTCTGGGTCCCATTCTACCGCCGGCGATGTCGGAAGACCCCGGCTCACCGAATGGACCATTCTTTCCCCTTCTCCGGTTCTCTCTTACCACAGGAAGAAAGAAAACACACAGAGCCCCCAGGTGGGGTCCTGGGCGGGATGGAGGGCAAGCTGCCCCGGGGGACGGGACAGGTGTAACGTGAGATCCGAGTGCAGTGACACTCAGTGGGCACCGATTCTGTGCTGAGCTCTGTGCTGAGCGCTCTCCATGCCCTGTCAGATCCCGGGGTCCCCACAACAGTGTGTAAGGTCAGTGATGCATATTGGCCAGTGAAATGGGGACATCAGGAGTGTGTTTACTTCTGGGTGAAAGCTGTAAGAGCCAGCATGTGCTGTGTCTCATGATCTTTTCCCCCTGCCAGGGGACCCAATGTTCCAGATTGAAGCTGCGCCGTCACCTACCTGGTCCTGAGGTGAGGACGAAGTGGAGCCAAGCTGCTTGCCTCCCTGAGGGACGTGGAGTGAGAGCCAGAAGTAATCCTTTGCTTAAGTGACTGAGATTTTCAGAGCTGTTCATTACGGCAGCAAAACCTAGAACATCCTGACTGATGCGAGCTACGTAATACCCATTTCCCCACAATATAAATGAGGAAACTCATGCTCAGAGAGGTTCGGCTATTTTCCCAAGCTCACACAGCTGGCAAAGGATAGACCTGGAACTTGAACTGAGAAAGCTGATGGCAGAATTTGAGCCATTAACCACAGCCCCGGGACACAGTGGGGAAGGAGCCAGCCAACACTTAGTTCTAATCCTGATTGACATTTCGGGTCTGAGCAAAGACCTACAACTAACTCATTGCCCTGAGTCTCTTCCTGCTTCGCTATTCCTAACGCCCCTGCTTATTTTAAAGGAGTTTATTCCATATGTTTCTGACCCTCTTTCCTTTAAGCCATTTTAACTGCATTGCAGGAAGCTGTCTGATATCTAGAGAAACTTCTGGGTCGTGATTTCTTTTTCTCTCTGTAAGAGAAAACCAGATGTCGCCTGGAGGGAACGCGGCTGAAGCAGGCTCCCGTGGGTGAGGTGGATGGGGGACTTCACCCATGTCTCCATCCACCGCGGCTTCAGAAAGGACAAGAGAAGAGAAAAGATTTTCAGAAAAATCCTAAGAAAGCCAGAGTTACAGTAGATGACAAAAGATCTCACCTATATCGCGGGGGCATGGGGAAAGCGTAAAACAGCCTGGAGTTGAACTCTCACTTGTCGATCCCACGAGGGATGTGAGACCCTTATCCCCGACTGTCTTTAAGAAAACAAATCAGGGAGTGGGGCAGGCTGGCGAGGGGGGAGAGACCAGCGAGCGGTTCTCAGACTGGCTGGTTGCGGGGTGTGGGGGACAGAATGGGGCCCCTCAAAGGACGCCTCAACATCCTCACCTCAGAACCTGCGAATATGACCCGATGTGGGAAAAGGGTCTTTGCAGATGCAGTTAAGTTCAGCATCTTGAGGTGAGAGCGTGCTGGATCATCCAGACGGGCCCTACGCCCAGTGTCAAGTGTTCGTACAAGAGAAGGGCCTGGGAAGGCTTGAGTCAGAGGAGAGAAGCCCGCGTGAAGGGGGAGGCAGGCGCTGGGGTGACGCCGCCACAGCCGAGGACGCCAGCGGCCACCAGAAGCTGGGAGAGTCCCTGCCAGAGCCTCGGAGGTGGTGGGGCCCTCCCGACACCTTGATTTTGACCCAGTGACACTGATTTTGGACTTCCGGCCTCCAGGGTGTGACAGAATACGTTTCTGTTGTTTTAACCATCCAGCGTGTGGCCATTTGTCATGGAAGCCCCAGGAGAGCGATACAGCCATTTCACCTTGGCTTCTCTGTCTGTGAAAGAAGGATGGTGACATCATCCCTCTCCTGTAAGAACCGAATGAGATAAGATGTGCTACAGTGTCTTGAGGAAGTCAAGACAACAGAAGAATGAGAAGCCCTTCTCTCCCTTCTTTCCAGAAACATCTATGGAGTCCCTAGCATATAACTGCAGTGACACCAAGTGAGAAAGACATTTGTCAGACCTGCCCTCACGCGCAGTTTAAATGCATGCAAATTATATGCAAATAGGCAACTCCCACAAGTCCGGTTCTTCCACCCGGGCCCGTTGGAATTCTGGGAGTCCTGGCTTTCACCAGCTGTCTGCGGCAAATGGGCAGCAGCATCACACTGACATACTTTCCAGAACAATCCTGCCCATCGCAGCGGCACCCAGGATTACATTCACTTGCAGTTCTGCGTTTGTGTTGTCAACTCTACTTGTGACATGGGATTCGTGTCGGAAAAGCCGGAATCAGGTCGTGACAGGATAAGGGCGTCAACCTCAGTTTTGGGGGGTGGTCTCGCTGACAAAGCTTGGGGCAGGAAGGGTGATTACGGGAGAGGGAAACAGTGGCATCGCAAATATTTGGAGCAGCTGGCTTGCTGCTCTCTGCTCAGACCAGGATCGTCCTGCCCATAATTGTCTCCTCTCCACTAAAACCCCTCTCAGGCTCCAAACCTTCAGCAGCAAAGGCACGAAAGAAGAGAGGAGGGGGTGCTCCAGTTTTCCCACCTGGTTGGCTTTTCAAGTCTCAGGTGGGCAGAGGTGGCCTGGATCTGACTATTGAACGCCCAGCAGAGCCTCTCCCAACCCCACACCTGCCCGTGGCCTTCCACGGAACGAGCACGTAGAAGGAGCCAGCACAGCCCCAGTGGAACAGGTCTTGTGGGATTAGCACAAAAATTGCAAGGAAATCTGACCTCATGGGGGGAAAAAGCCAACCCTAACAGAAAGGTTCTTTAGGAAAAGAAAAGAAAGACAGAAAAGGACCCAGAAAATGCACAGGGATCAATGCTACCCATGAATCAGAGATTCTTTGCAGTAAAGACCCAAAAGTTCTAGGAAAGAACTATAACCCTGTCGGGAGCCTTGACTATGTGCTGGGCACTGTTCTCAGTGCCTTACGCATCTTTCCTAAGCCAGCCCCAGAGCCCAGAATTGTCCTCACGGCAATTAACAGGGACATGATCACAGTGGGACAAGGAGCAGACCAGGGTAGAATTCCCAAAATAAAGAAATTCAAATGATTTCAGAAAACAGTAAACACATGGGACCAAAGACGCAGACAATTAATAAAACAGAAGATGATCCTGAAAGCATAAACAAATGTGGAGGAAGAAATGAACAGAGATGAGAAGAATGGGAGAGAACTTGAAAGCTCTTCAGCTTCCCAAGTAGAAAAGACAGGTTTCTTTCAAAGATGCCCAGTGCTGGGTGTTTCTGGGGCTCTCCTGCTGCAGTGACCAAGACTGGAAGTTAACCTTCAAAAACATTTTAAAAAGTGTGATAGTTAAGGAAGTGATCCGAGTGGATGTTATTGAAATGTGATTGCGTCAGAAGGATATTCTTACCCTGGCAGAATTTCACAAAATTTACCACCTAAGCACCATTTCATCAGACATCCACGGAGAAGGAATTGTCAAGAAGTCCAAGGACTGAAGAAAGAGGAACGGAGTTTTAAAACCTCTTGTTATGTTGGAAAAGTATGTATGAAGACCAGAATATTTTACACAAAATAAATAACATAAACTGGGGTGGAGAAGGGTTAAGATGGTTGATGGAACAGATGCATCTAACTTTGTTCTCTCCCAAAACCTCACTAAAACAAGAAAGCCTTTTTTTTTTTTTTTTTTTTTTTTTTTGGTTTTGGTTTCTTAAAAGCTTAAACCTTCAAGGAGAGGGGGAGGAGAGAATAGCAACATTTTGGAAGCTGAGAGGTGGGTCATGAGTCGTAACTGACTTATCAGACTTGGGACAGACAAATCTTAAAACAGCAGTGGGGAAAGCTGAGAACTGAAAAAGAGTTCATTTCTCATGGGTGACATTCAAATGCAGATATTTGCCATTTAAACATACTGTTATATAACAGAAAACAGAACATTCACAAATTAAAATCGTTCTAGGAATGTGAGATTGAAGAAGCCCAAGAGAAAACAAAATCAAATGATCAAGAAGAAAAGCAAAACCATTATAACAATAAATGTAAATCGTCCAAATTCACCCTTTAAAAGGCATAGGATCTCAAAGTGGTCATTTACAAGAGATACAAAAAGCAAATAGATACAGAAGTGCAAAAAAACAGCAAATGATTTTCAATCTAGTTCATATAAAGGGAGAGGGATTCATATTTAATAATGTTGTTTATAAAACAAAATATCCATGAAGATAAAAATTGGTTATTATTAAAAAGTTTTAGTTAGTAATGAAATAAAGATAAGGATTCATAAACTAACAACTAAAGAACAATAGTATAAATTGAATGGAGTAAAAACCAGTAGCAGTACTGGGACAAATTAATAAAAGCAGGGTGTATTATGGATCTGCAAGTTCATGAATAAATAGAGGAAATAAAGTGACTATATAGAACTTACAGACTTACCCAAACTCAATTTATTCAATAGAAACATATATATATATACACACACACACACAAAAATGTTCAATGCAGCATTATTTGTAAAAGTCAAAACTTGGAAGCCATCCACAAGCCCAACATGAGGAGAATGGTTTCATAATTCACAGCACAGACACATCGTGAAATATCACAGAGCCACGTAAGGTTGTATGAAGCCCACATGGAAGCAGGGGGAATTATGTGCTATGCCAAGTTAAATGTATGAATACAAAATGTTATGTGCACTTCTATTTTATAACAAGTGGAAGAAAAAGTCAAAAAATAAAATTAACAAAATGTAGCATGATCAGATTATTGTTGCTTTATTACATTAATGTTATCGTTACTTTTTTTTCAATTTAAAAATATATAAAATAAGTCAAAATAAGACAAAAATCCAGGGGGTGGGTGAAATGCGACTTTCTTACCTGGTCTTATCTTCTCTCAGTACATTTTTAAATATTTCATAAACACTTGGGTGGGCAAGGTTTTGGCACTAAGGGATAATTTGAACTTTTTTACCATTTGGATAGGTCAAAATTTGCTGATAAATATTCCTTTGGGACAGAAATTGAATGATCTACTGGACCCCAAACCAAGTGGTCCAAGATGCAAGCTCCATTTCCTCCAATCCGGGGACCCAAGGAGCTGGGGGAGCCTTTGGAGCTAAGAGTCCCAATCCGCCCCCTATACCCCACTGTGTGTGTGTGTGTGTGTGTGTGTGTGTGTGTTTGTGCGTGTGTGCACACGCACACGCAGCAGGAAAGCATCTCTCTGTTTCTTTGTATCCACGGCCCCTGGCTGAGGTCTCTTCTCCAGCCGCGCCTATGCAGCCGAGTCTGGATTTCACGTGGCCGACTCTGGAGAGTTGATGCAGATGGAGAAATTTCCCTGGAACTCCTGACCTGTGGGAAGAGATTTTGACTTGGCAGTCAAGACTTAATGAGAAAACATGTTACTTCTGGAAAAGCCAGCCTGTGGACATTTTGACATTTTCTTACAAGGTCATGTTCTCCGCAGACAGTAAAGAGGTTAAGGCTAAGAGAAAGAGAAGAAACAAATGTTTGGCACCTACCATTTTTTGGAACAATGTCCAAACCCTTTTTCTGTAGTCTCGTGAAAAATCTGCATTTCCAACAACCCTTCAACCTTTTTGAAGGTGGACTGGGTTTTTGTAAACAGCCAAAAGTAATTCAGAGCTCAGTGTAGTGAATAAGCGGTGATTTATCTTGTTAATGATGTCATTATTAAAGCAGGTATAGCTCAATAAGATTGATTTTCACCTGCAATTTACAAGCTGCCTTGAGAAGGAATTTGTAAAGATAATATTAGTAGCAATGCCATGGCTAGAATAAGCATAAAACAGCCCACGGTCATTATTTTGAAGGAGAACACTTGTTTGAGTTAAAAGACTTCATACATTTCTTCAAAAAGTTTGCATTCATTGTTTTATAGATTATTTCATCCTTTAAAAACAGAAAAAATGGCTATTGGTTTTTCTCTGATTATGAAAGTGAGACACGGAAATAACGCATAGAAAAACAAGGAAGGGCGTGAAGAAGAAAATGTCATCCACACTATTTTCCAGAGATGTGCATAATTAAAGTATTGGTGTGCAACACCATTTTTTTTCATGCACAGACTTTTTATTGGGAGGTGGATCTTAGGAGAGACCGTTTCCACAGATTTCTTTCCCCCTTAATGTTACACATAACGAGTAAATGAGGAAAGAGTTTTCTTTTCAACAAAAACAAATTTTGTTTTATTTTTAAAAATCATTTTTGTCTCAGTTTGTGGAAATTAATAAAACCAACCGTAACTAAACTGGAGTTTGGAAGGCCTGCAGGGGGAGCGCTCACCCCCATCACACGTCATTAACTACACCAGACGGGAAAAGGGAGGATAGGACGGAGAACCACTTCACTATTGAAGGAAGACTTCCCTCCCCACCCGGCAACAGCCCAGCCAATGAGAAACCCCACAGCTCAGCCAATGAGAAACCCCACAGCTCAGCCAATGAGAAAAACCACAGCTCAGCCAATGAGAAAAACCACAGCTCAGCCAATGAGAAAAACCACAGCTCAGCCAATGAGAAACACTGCAGCTCAGTCAGTGAGAAACACCACAGCTCAGCCAATGAGAAGTGCTGCAACTCAGCCAATGAGAAACACCACAGCTCAGCCAATGAGAAACACCACAGCTCAGCCAATGAGAAACACCACAGCTCAGCCAATGAGAAACACCACAGCTCAGCCAATGAGAAACACCACAGCTCAGCCAATCAGAAACACCACAGCTCAGCCAATCAGAAACACTGCAGCCCAGCCAATGAGAAATACCGCAGCTCAGCCAATGAGGAGCCATTGCTGCCCTGAACTGTAACTCTCCCCCAATGGACTTTCCTTTAGAACAGCCCTGCCCTCTCCCCCCTTTTCTCTATAAAAGCAGCTCCCCTCCTTTGTCTGCTGGATTAGCCTGTGGTTTGCCATAGCAGGAACATCCTGAATTGTAATTCTTTTGGCTATACCCAAATAAACTCATTTTGGGATAAAATAATGCAAATTTGCTTTTTAAGTTGGCACCTTCAAGAAACAATGTCTTTCTCCTCAGTGTACTGACAGAATTGTCCTTGTTTTTTCATCTTTAGGATAAAGGTTGTGAGGAGATCCTTTGGCATTTATTTATTTTAAAATTATTAGTAATTAAGATGGAAATATTTTTTATAATAGTTTCTAAGGACATAAATGATAGACTCAAATTGTATATAATATGGAGTCTTTCTTACAGTAACATTGTGGACATTTTCACTTATAATTAATATTCGACAACATAACTTTTAATGATTGCATAGCATTCATCCGTCATGAAGATGCTCCATAATCTATACAACCCATCACCTGCTGTTGTACATTTTAGGTTGTTTCCCCTGTTTTGGAACATTCTTAGAAACCAATCTTTGTGCACTTCTATGGTCCTTCCTTACTACAGGCTTCTAGAAGTGGTGTCAGATAGTGAAAGAGTAGAAGTGTTTCAGAGGTTTGCTGTTTTACCAAATGATCTGGAAATGTCTATATTTTATTCCCATGTGTCTATATGGGGCCCATTTTCCTTCATCCTTACCAAACTGGGTGTTCAAAGTCAAAAGTTGATTTTGCCGAATTGATGAGCAGTTAGTATCTCATGATTTTAAATAGCTTTTTACTACTAGTGGGATCGAACAATTTTTCATATGTTTATAGGGAATTCATATTTTTATTTCTAAAAAATCACCTAAACAAATCTCTTCTCCTTGTCCTTCCTAGACTCTTGACATATACTTCTCCTATAGAAACCCTAGTTAATTAATTGAATTTGCACCCCTCCCCAAAGGCTACATGGGAGACAGGAGACCCTGGGCAAACATCGTCTGCACGAAATCCAACAAGAGGCGGCACACACAACGAGTGATGTGCGCTGGGCGCCATGGGAAGAGCTTTCTGTGCTATTCCTCATTTTACCCTCAAAACAACTGGATGAGACCGATGGTATTATTTTCCCATTTTACAGATAAAGAAGTCAGGCTAAGTGACTCACTCTGTCGTCGGGCCTGTGAGAGGCGGAGCCGGGACCTCCACACAAGACTGTCTCACCGGAGTCCATGCCCCAGACACCCCAGGATGCATCTTTTCTCTGTTTCCAAGGCAACTGGAACCCAGGTCACTGGCACCTGCATCTCATTGGCTGAGTTATCCCCCCTCCCCTGCAGGCTCTGTGCTCACCAGGCAGCTGGACCCCCCAGACTCTGGGGTGAAGCTTTCCTTCGACGTCCATCAACTGGCAAGGTTGCCAAACACTCACCAAGCTCCTGGATGAAGGGCTGATTTCTCACCCTCCCTCAGCTGAAGTCTAAGCAAGTTAGAAAGACAAGAACAAGGAGAAGCGACAGGATAGAGCTGGACAGTCAGTGCCATCAGCATCTCCATCAGAAGGCACTTTCTCCACACCTTTGGCTTAGCTTGATTTTCGTAACCAGCTCAGTAGTTCCTGGATTCATTCATAGATTGGTAACCGCATTTTGCTAACCAGACGGAGGAGAAGGGGTAATTGGAGGGTTAGGTTAGGTGGTCCCCCGGCCAGATTCACATAACGTGGACAGCAGAGGCCACACTTCCTGTGTCTTGGTCTATCTATCGGTGAGGTGACATAAAACGCCCCCACGGCCACCTTAGTTGCCCCAAAGTGCGTGAAGATCCAGAGCCAACATGGTAAGAGCTTTAATTCATCCTGAATGGAAGGTTCTGGAAGAATGCAATTAGCACCAAATAAATGGAGAAAAATTGATGATGGGACGAGAATCTACGTGCCAGTGTTGAACTGTGGAACTCTGCGCAGCGATGGGAATGTTCCGTATTCGTGCTGGCCGGTATGGTCGCCACTCGCCACCTCTGGCTGCTGAGCCCTTGCAATGTGGCCAGGGCCGCTGAGGAACTGAATGTTTAGTTTTATTTAATTTAAATTTAAAGAGCCGCACGTAGCTAGCGGATGCTGTGTCGGCACAGCTATGTGCAAATCCTCGTGCCTGAGACAACGAGGAGGAAGACAGAGCACTGTCGACTCGAGAATCTGCCTGCCTCGTCCAGAGGGCTCCCCTTTCAAGTAATTTTACTGTGAAAATGTCCCTTAAGTTCCCTCCCAACAGCTCTGGGAGATCACAGGATGTGATTCAGAGCTGCTGTTAGAGACGGTGCTCATTCGGGCTTCGTGAGCACTGGCTTCCCAGGTCGGACTGGTTATTGCTTATGAAGTTGAAACCCCTTGCGAGTCAGCAAACAAAACAAAGCTTCAAATATTTCTAAAAATGTGTGCCAGCCTCAGTTCAAACAGACAATTGAAACATCCAAGTGACAAGGATGACGTGGAAGCCGAATATTGATGGCGTTAAATTCTTGTTTTGCAGGAATCTTCCTGCTTTTCGTTACGGAGGTTGCTCTTCATTTCCTTTGAAATAAGCACAATGCTTTAGACAAAGAACAAAGCCACGTTTCTCTTTAACTGGACCTGTTCTTCTGGATTTGGGTGGACAAATGAATGAGGAATTCGAAGGCGAAGTGAATGAGGTTCGGATCCCAAACTTCAGGCTAGCACATTTCTTTGGGGGGCGGGGAGCGTGGATGGTGGGTGAGGGATGGAGCAAAGGGGAGAAGCGATGGTCCTGAAGGAAAGCTGAGCGCGCAATGTCACATAAGCCCGGCGGGCGCCCTGCCTGCGCTCATGGGCAGCCAGGACTGGGCAGATTTAAGAGGCTCCTCACCAGCAGCCGCTGCTGCCTCCTG